GAAAGTTTGGATTTTTTTTTTCTCGAAAACGACGCAACAAATTGAAAATCGGTTTTCTGCCGTTTATTGAACACACATTAAATGGTACATTTATCAGTCGATGCTGTAAAAACGAGGTCCTGGTGCCCCGCACGGCTGCTCCCCGTGGACGATGTTCTAAAAAACGCTTTTTGCGGTGCCAACTGCGGTTTGTGATGTAATCATCTGAAATAAAAAAAACCATGCCAAATCGTTAAGCATGTGTTAAAATAGTCCTTGATCGTTCGGTTTTTTTTAATTTGTTTTGACAAAATGACGGCCTTGCAAAGTTGAAGTGCCGATTTTTGATCCTTAAAATTTGTCTTTGATCGGCTGTAAAAAATCGAAATTAAATGATAGACGAAATCCGAACGATCGTGGACTGCACAAAATAGTACTGAACAGAAATCAAAACGAATCGGACGAATCGAATGTATACATTTCGAGAAATTTTCGGCACCGGTTTTGAAAATATGATTCCGAGATAATCGCGTTTAAAGTTTCAAGTTGGGTTTAGTCCACTATAAGTGAATATTTTTGTATGTCGCATAACTTTCATTTTTTGAAAGTTTGCAGGTAGGCGTAACATCTTAAGTAGTGAGTCATTTTTTTTTTTTTTCATTTGTTTCCACCGGTTGGTACGGCAGTGTGAAAATTGTATATAGAGAGTAGAAAGCGAGCAAAGGTCAATTTTGAGGAAGGCACGAATCGGGTCGATCATCTCCTTTGTGGCAAACGTTACGTTCATGGGTGCGGGAAAATTCTGGTTAGGTTCCATGTACTAACTGATCTATATTAAATTTTAGGTTTGTTGCAGTATTACCATTTATTTTAACTGGAAATACATATTTTCACGAAGCTACTGTAATATTTAGATACTACGGTTAAGCGCTGTCCAAACTGAGCACACCCAACCGGTGGATGTAAAGCTGGGTTTAGACAGGGCAAGTCAATTGATCAAGTCAGTTGAATTCAACTGACTTGAACGCGAATTGAACGTGTAAACCATGCCATTCAACTGACTTGATCAACTCACTTGAATTGAAAAAAGTTGAACCAGGCTCAACTTTTCAAGCCAATTGAATTCAACTGAGTTGATCATTTGACTTGCCTAATCTAAACCCAGCTTAAGATTCGCTTACAATTATGTGGGATTCATCATCAGAGGATGTAAGTGGAGACCGCATGAACCGAGGATGCGATATACCTAGCTGCGGTCCAATGCAAGAAAATTGGAGACCGAAAAATGTAGAGTGTATTAGTGAGGTAAATTTATTGTGTCGAAAAAAAATAGGAATTTGGTTGCCGACTGGACTCGAACCACGAACGTTGCGATTATCAGACCTGTGCTTTCTCCACTGCTCTCTCAATGCTCCTGAATATGTTTAGCCTAAAAGCAAATATAAAGCGCTCATTTTCTCGCATGCTCGACTTCGTATGCTTTTTCTGCTGGAGACATTCGAGACAAGTGTGTGCGTCGTTCTACAATGTTCTACAATGTGCGTCGTTCTACAAGCTTACTGGTATAGTCGAAAGCGCACCTAGATGGAACACGAAATAAAAATGCTCGACTTCGTATGCTTTTTCTGCTGGAGAGATTCGAGACAAGTGTGTGCGTCGTTCTACAATGTTCTACAATGTGCGTCGTTCTACAAGCTTACTGGTATAGTCGAAAGCGTAGATAGAACACGAAATGAAAAAGACAAAAAGCCATTACGGAACTAACATTCATTGTAATAGAGGCATTCGAGGCAAGTGTGTGCATCGTTCTACAATGTTCTACAACGTGCGTCGTTCTACAATCTTACTGGTATAGTCGAAATATCCACGCTAACACGAAATAAAAAAAGACAAAAAACCATTACATCGCTTGCATGGTCAATTCCTAACATTCGTTGCGATGTTCATGAACAGAGGATGATAGGAAACGGAACTAACATTTATTGTAATAGATTTTTGGTTTGCGTGCAGTTATAACATGTTATAACGGTTGTCAAATAATTGCAACACAGAAACCACCATCAAGATAGCGCTATAACATGTTATAACTCTGTAGTCTCTAACGGCGCCGGTGGTGTAGTGGTAAGCGTGATTACCTCTCACCCCAGCAGGCCTGGGTTCAATACCAGTCGGCGCCGCCGGGATGTTCTGAGGCATAACATCTCTGATCACGCATTCCTTCGGATGGGAAGTAAAAAGCCGTTGGTCCCCCCGGTTCATGAGTTGATGGGTCGATAGGTAGGGTCCAGGTGTGGGAGCTGCCTTCCTGGCACGTCGGTAGCATTGGTGCTCAGCACGGAAAACAAGATCGACGGAAAAAAACAAACCAAAGGAAAAAAAAAAAAAAAACTCTGTAGTCTGAACGTACTATTAGAAATGCAAGTTTTAAATTCAATTATTACTGCATCAATCATTCGAACCAGAATATCATGACATTTGCTGTGCCACAGCACGACTGTTTCGTTGTCGAGAAGCGAGCTTGCACACAGCATCGAGTTAATAGATTTTTCATATCCACATTCAGAAGCGTTTTCTAATTAGAAAACAGTCATGTTAATGCAGTAGTGTTTCTTTTTTTTTACGTTCCTATATTGACCATATCGTTTTAAATATAAATGGACACGACAAATTGTGTGGGACTTCGATAGTGAGCTTAAATAAATTTCAAAAACAAGTCTGGAGACTTTGGGACAGGTCCAATGCGTTTAAATTAGGCCCGGAGATTACAGTGAACCCCTCACCATCCCTCTCCAAAGTGGGAGTTTGGTAAAGAAAGATGAAAAAACCGATTTGTAGGGTTTTCGATCTAATTTCCGTCCTACTAAGCACAACCCGCGCAACCTTCGACCGAGTTTAAACAAAAAATGGAATAAGTGATCAAAGATGACTTCTAAATTTATTCACCTTTTCATACGTACCGTTAGATTTGATAAAGAGTCACAAATTGTTGAGATATTGTTTAAAATCTAATACTGCTTCTTGATTCTAAATTCGTGCTACGAGTTTCAATTCCGTCCTAACGCATAGAAACGCCATTAGATTTGCTTCGTCTTACGGATAAACGTAGAAAAAGTGTGTTCGCTAGGAGCGCTTCTTTTGTTTTGAGAACAATGAGCGTAAATATTCATACAATGAGCGTAAATATTCATACAATGAGCTCTAACAGGATTTATGTTGTAGCTAATGAACTAACGCATCGGAACAAACTCAATATTGCTTTGAGCACGGTGAAATCATTGATATTATTGATCTTTTCTGATCGATAGAACGGAAATGGGCGATTACGACGAAGTAGCGCTCTACTCTGCCTTCCTTAAAAGTTGTCCAAGCTCGCTATCTACTATCTATATGCAATTTTCACACTGCCGTACTTTAACGGAACTATCAACTCTATACTTTCATCTCCTCCATCTATCGTATAAAAATTACCACTTTAGTCTGTTATTTGAAATTAGCATCTTCAACTATGAAAAATTATCTTTTATGTGGTCTGCAGCCTGCATGACAAGGTGATTGGAGTGTGTCACAGTGTGTTTTTGTGGGTGTTAACACAAGGTGGCAGAGTGACTTACCCCCTGATCTCTATTGACCAATTTAGAGCTATTTTCTTGAATTGAGTTAGGGTGTCTCTAAAAAACAGTGGTTTTGTTCTAGTTTTCTTATTTCAAATTTCTCAGCAAAGATATATTCAAATAACTTGTAGATCTTTAGAAGGCGCAAAATGTTTGCTGCACAAGGCTTGTCGATATCTTCGCCGATCAAGAGTTATTGACGTTTTTCTACTAAAAATATGCCCTTTTCAAATGTTAATATCTCTGGTTGGAGCAAACAAAAATAAAATTGTGTACGGTATTTGAAAGGGCGTAAGAAAATAATATGAATAAATTGGGGTGTTATTTTTTTTAAACTCGTATAAAATCAATTTGAATTTATTCATAGTTTTACTATAATTTGGTATATCTTTCTTGTTAGAAGAAATACAGACAACAACTTTTGATATAAAACATTTGTCCTGAAGAGCTTTAAAAGTCTCTAGTTGATGACTTTCATGAGAAATTTGATATAAAAAAAGTTAGTGCTTAAAAACTATTTTTTTCCAGGAACACAGGAATTACTCTAAAATGAGAACGTTAAGAAATAATAAAAAAAACTATTCTCGACAAAGTTGCTTAAATTAACTTAGCTACAACTTTTTTTAAAGAACACATTTCTTTATTTGTAAAACAAAAAAAGTAACTTTTTAAACATCCTCTAATTTGAGGACCACCCTGACGTATATATATATATATTATTGAGAATAACATACTCCCTTTCAAATGCCGTAAAAAAAAATTTTTTTTTTGTTTGCCCCGACCAGAGATATTAACATTTGAAAAGGGTATATTTTTAGTAGAAAAACGACAATAACTCTTGATCGGCGAAAGATATCGACAAGCTCTGTGCAGCAAAAATTTGCGCCTTCTAATGATCTAAAGGTAATTTGAAAACACTTTTGCTGAGAAATTTTAAATAAGAAAACTATTGCAAAACAACTGGTTTTTTAGAGACACCCTAACTCAATTCAAGAAAATAGTTCTAAATCGGTTAAGGTTGCTTGAAATTAGCTCAGCTATAACTTTGCCGAAGAATTTATACCTTAATTTCTACAAATTAAGAAGTTAGATTTTTGATTTCAATGATTGTATGAACCACCCTAGAATTCATTGTCATAAAAATAAGGGCCTAACTATAAGGAACAATTTTTTAGAAGAGACTTTTAGTCTAAAGTTTCATTTCAGGCTCAAAACATATCCTTCCACCTAAATCTGCATTCTAGACCACTGTGCAATGGTACATCTTTTAAGTATAGGTGCTCATGATAGCCGTAAGCGTAAAAGGTTAAACGTACGACCCATTTGTTCTTCTGAACGTCAATTTTTTGATGAAGTTAATTCGTTCCAACTAGCTTCTAATGTTTCGAATTCTCTTGTTTCTATATTTAGCTATCAGGGATGACTGCAGAGCTGGCTGAAGAGCACTCATCATCAAGCTTGATAAGTGAACGGTTGGAAGCAGAAACTACCGAAAGACTAAGGCTCGATAAGGAAGTTAAAGAACATGAGGCCAATTATCGAAATTTGCAGGAATCATCGGAGAAACTGGAGATGGAACTATTGTGTGCTAAATCTGATCTCAACGGCGATTTGGATGATGACCTTGATGGCGATGAAACTGGATCCAACGTCTATCGACTAAAATATGAGCGAGTGGCCCGTGAACTGGAGTTTACCAAAAAACGATTGCAGACACAGCATGAGCATGACCTGGAGCAACTAATTGGATTAAAAAAACAATTGGAAAAGAAGGTTTGTAAAACATCAGGCTTTTTTTGGCATACTACAGTCAAACAGGGCTGTAGAGTCGGAGTTTCAGTCGGATGGATTTTTGAGCATAAGGAGTCGAAGAAAAAGATTCGAGTCCGACTCCGACTCAGACTGTTAATTTGAAATAATTTGAAACTAGAAGGTTTGGTCGTGCAATTTGATTTGGCTCCATGACCGATTCGATTGAATTTGAATGCTTATCATGAAAACTAACATAACTCGTCTAAGCCCAGCTATACTGATGGCTTTGATCTAGTAAACCTCCTCATTGTTTTTAATATTTATTTTAGAGATTTTTAGTCGAAGGCTAGTTCATATCTTCTAAACCTCCTTATACTACACACTAAGATTTGTTTACAGGAGTCAGTATTTTTTTACTGGGTTTTTGAATTGCTGAAAAAGTCAGTAAAAATTCAAATGACCGTTATCCGTAAGGAATCAATGAAATCAATCAATTTTATTTTCTATCTCTAAATGGGGTTAACAGAACTAAGTATGTACAAGTTCAGAACAAATTTTCTCATTAATAAATTTTCCACAGATTTTTAAACTTTTACCGAACAGTTCCGCAATTCAAAAACTCGGTAAAACCGTACTGACTCGATTAGTGTGTACAGATTAAAACGTATTGCTTTCAAAGTTCTTAATTTGCTATTTACCAATTTTATCTATTTGGGACGGTACTAATGGGTATTTTAAAAATATTATTATTTTCCAAATGAACGCGGTTTTTAGGACATATAGACATTAGGATTTTTTAAGTAATTTCCCTGAATTAAAAAAAAACTTCTGCATTATTTAAAGCATAAAACGGATTATTTTTTAGTCAAGCGGTGGTTAAAAAAATAAAACCTTACTACAAAACAATTCAAAATTTATTACTGTCAATTCTCCCCAACTCGATATTTAAGGGACCATCAAGTGAGTGAGGCTATCGAGTTACGGAGGTAAATTTTGCGAATTTGTAGGGGAAGACGGGGTAAGCACGCCCGGAGGGGTAAGAGGGACCACAGTATGAAATCCTCTACATTCTTACCAATACTCAATACAGAAAAGATTAACAACATGTTTTTATGATTCTGAAACACCTTGTGAGGCTTCAAAACAATAAATAAATACAAACTTCTCGTTCGGTGGCTTTCATGATTTAATTTTGAAAGCAACAAATATAAGACTTTTTGATAAACAAACGATGTTTTCTGACGTTTGTTGGTACCTGTTTCCTTCAGTAGTACTGCTTCTGTGACTGCAGATAAATGTATGTAAAAATGCATGAAACATGAGTAAATATACCATATTAAATGTAAACCAGACCTTACCGAAAATGGTTAAAATTGTTTATAATCCCTGCTAAACTTTAACTGAAATGGTTATGGAACTTCACATGAACGTTTGTGTAATGAAGTTTTAACCTTATGTATTATGGTTTTTTGGAAGTGACCCTACAAATAATGGATTGTTAAAAACCATTACCATTCCAAATTCTTGTTTTCTCCATACATTTTCGGAAAAGGAATTATATTAAAACCTTTTTATTTATGATTTGAGAACTTTAATGTTAATGGTTATGGTAGACGGTAAGGTTCATGGATGGTTTTGTACTGTCGGTCAACTCTACGTGGAATATATCGCGAATTGGTAATCATTAATTTACAGGCTAAATCCAAAGAACCAAAAATCAGATCATGTTGCGAAAGTGCAGGGAAGCTAAGCTGGTTAAAGCGCAGAACTTTTTCAGCGCAGCTAGTGATAAGGTTAGCTCCTCAGTCCTCAAAATCTTCACGAAAACATGTAGCATGTTGAGCTTGTGTACAAAAATCAAAACGAATGTTCAGCTAAAGTACAAATGAGCTTGTACTAATTCGAACATAGCAAGCGGAGTACAAGTCAAGCTGAACATTAGGTCGACGAAGAGAATCTGTCAATGTTACTTAGGACCTAATGCAATGTTCCGCTTGAAGTGAGTGTAAAACATTAGTGCACTTTACACACATGTTGCACCGTGAAGACTGCTCATCACAAACAGACCAGACGTCAACGCAAAACTCTGAAGTACTGCTTCGAAGGATGCACGCTTGTTGTTTTGGGTGTTCAAGTCTGTGTTGAAATCTGCAATCGATGTTTATTTCGTTGCGCATTTCATCAATCAACGTTTTTGTCTCGGTGACCTGTTTCATTCATCAGGTATAAAAATGAAACTACAACGTGCAGAAACGGAAGTAATGAAATTGGGTTGTTAGTGGAATGCATTGCAAAAAGGTTATCTTCCATTTAATTCCATTTAATCAACTTTTGTATCCAACTAGGACTACAATGTCATTTTTAGTATTTGCTTTGTCTTTTTGATCAAAATTTCAACTTTTTGTTTTGTCACAAAGTAATTGGATTAGAGCAGAAATTTTCAATTGGACGCATTTGAGAAACATAGGGAGGGTATTACAGGTATCGATAAGCGCTCGATTTTATTTGAAGGGGTTAGAAGGAAAGGAGTATAATTGACTTTGATCGATCCTCTTCATTGACTTTCTCTTTTGATAGCCACAGCTTTATAAAACATATTTTGCGCTATTTCTGCCACATAGTTTGATAAAGGAGGTTCTCATGTAGCATCCAGAATGGCACACGAATCAAGGAATGTGTTTGCAGCTGAATTATTAACGAAAGAGAAAGTCGATTATAAGAATCGATCAAAGTCACTTACATCGCTTTCCTTCTAACCCCCTCATTTATCATACTTTTTGCGCAATAGAAGATGCAAGGTCAGCTCAAAATACTGCACCTTTCCGCATGGTACTTCTATACTAAAAGGAAGAGGATTAATTATAAACAAAATAAGTAATCAATATGTTATTATAACTATGGCAGGAAAAAAAAATACTTATTATTTTGATATCATGATATCAAATTTAGTAATCTGAATGTTTAGAAATCTATTCGTTGAATAATTCGCAGGTAGATTAATATCAATAAATGTTGTAAAATATGACTGTAAAAATCATAATTGTCTTTGTGATGTTTGTGAAGAAAACAGCAAGCATCCTGATTGACTCGTAACAAAAAAAATAGATTTCAGTGATAAATGTGGATGCTCTTTTTATAAAATATCAAATTTTGTATATAATTATATTTTTTAGAAATATCAAAATAATATCAAAATATGAATTCATCCGAAATTGAAAAATAGCATATCAAAATATGTTATCAACATAATTTCAGAAACATAATTTGATATCATTTTGATATCCGACTTTGCTCGGGAAATCATTTACTCAAACGCAAATGTTACTCGGTAATTGAATCGTACCTATTTTTATTAGAGACCTCAATATTTGGGTGAATTGTTATCAATTAAGCAGGACTACAATAATTTTTATGATCGCTGTGGTGTTACGATGCTATGCTGACATCATCTAATTAATTTATACGAAGTTTTTAAACACTATTTAATATATTTCAGCTAGCAGATGCTTATGAGGAAGTGGAGGAGCAACGACAGGTAGTTGGACAGTGGAAACGTAAAGCGCAGAAGATGACCAACGAAATGAACGATTTACGCATGTTATTGGAGGAGCAAAATAGTCGTAATAATCTCCTCGAAAAGCGTCAGCGAAAGTTTGACTCTGAATGCCAAGCGCTGCAGGTATTTATTTCACTATTTTTTCCGGAAGATATAGGTACACGTATAACGCATTACTTGTTTACAGGACTCTGCCCGACAAGAAAAACAATCTCGGGAACGTCTATCTCGTGAAAAAGATGTTCTTATCGCCGAAAAATTCACGATAGAACAGACACTTTCTGTAAGTAAATAAGCATAGTGGACCGACCGAGATGCACAGACAAACAGAAATAACACATTTAATATTTATCTAGACAAAACATAGTCACTAGAACACTACCGCCATCTGTTCAGTATCATGTGATGGATAGTGCGCTGAACAGATGGCGCTAGTGTGCAGACGTCAAACGCTAGGGAACCGACCGTGCGCGCCATAGGTAGCGGCACAACCAACCAAAAACACTCAAATTGACCGTCAAATGCGTGTTCGATGAACAACCTGCGAGTGTTATGTCTGTTTGTCTGTGATAGATGGGTTATTAGGAAAGTACAACTACATTATAACTATTAGTGCAATGGATGAACGTTAGTTTCGGGGTCATGTTAGTGTTAGAGTTTTGTTAGTATTGACCCGTATTCAGCCCTGTCGGCAAGGTGCCTTCCATTCATTTTGACTAAAAAATTATTTTATTAAATTATGGAATAATAAGATATTATGATGATATTTTGTATGTGTAGGTAATAAGAAAAGATTGTAAAGTTTGTGTTTCACACATCAAACTTGCAAATTTAGCTTTGACAGAGTCACAATGAGCGATTTGTTGATCGCATCTTCGCGAAGAGTGGATGAGATAAATTACAAAATCGCTTATTGCGACTCTCATGTAGCAAAATTGGCAGGTATTATGTGTCAAACACACACTTTACAATCTTTTCTTGTTGTTTACATAATCAAAATATTTTCATAATTTCTTAAAACATTTTTTTAGTCAAAAAAATACTAGTCGCAGGCAGTTGTTGTTAGGACATGAGACACTGTCACTGCTACTATGTTAGAGGTATGACCCGTCAAGTTTCGAAGTACAAAAAAACTGTTCTTATAAATTAACTTTAAACTCAAAGCAACTTATTTATCTTAGCATTACAAAAGCGAATTTAAAATTACTATTGTATTTTATGCTAATATTAAAATTATAATAAAACTACAATTTACGGCTCCATGAATTTAACTCGCTTGAACCTTTCAAATCAATGAACTGGATAAAAACTGCAATTTTAACAATTGCAAAAAAAATCATAGCAATACTTGACAAATCATCAACAAGCCCCTCATCCTTGGACAGGGATATAAAATTATAATTTTTTTTTTTCAAACCAGCCATGTGCATAGTTGGAAACCATAAGATTGTCTTATCAAAGCATTGATTCTAGTTCAAATTAGATATGGAGTTCCAAACAGTCCTTGAAAGATGTACTACCCAAATTTAATATAAAAATATTCTATTTGAGTTCCTATGCTATGAATCACTGTAGTAATTATTATTTACACAACGCAAAAGCAGTCAATAAATTTGATGCAAGTTTTTATGAATGCCATGGTAGTCTAGGATCAGAAATTGAAATAAGTAGGTAATGTAACCATGTTACATTCGATATGTACTATTGGAGACGCAGGGTAATCTAGTCGTATTGGAGTAATGAACGAAATGTCTAAACATGATAATTTCAAAAAATCGTAACTCAAAAACGAAGAAAAATACATCGCTGATTTTTTGATATGTTGTGTAGAAAAGCCTAAATAAAATAAATATATAAATATATATATATATATATATACATATATACATGTATATATATATATATATATATATATTTATATATATATATATATATATATATTTATATATATATATATAAACGTGTAACGCTCATTATCTAAAAACCATGAAAACCATAAAAAACAAATATAATCGAAATACAAAACTCAAATTTTCGAAATTTTTTATAATTTTTAAAAACTTTTCATGTGATATTTCAATCATTCAAATCGGTTCAATGGTTCAAAAGTTATGATTTCTAAAAAATGCCATTTTTGGAAAAAAAAAATAGAAAAAAAATCGATTTTTTGACCACCCTAACATGGAAATGGTCACTCTAATGAGAAAATAAAAAAAAATATGGGTCTTATATTTTTCGATAAGGAACAAAACTATCAATTGTTACGAAATTCTGAGAACCACTATATCGTGTCGCCGCCAAAAGCTACTTTCTTCTCCGGTTAGGGAGAGTCTTTCGCTTACTAGGTCAGACACTGTTTCTCGATTCTAGAAGCTACTTTTTTCTCCGGTTAAGGAGAGAAGTTTTCACTTCCAAGTCAAGAGTTCTTCTAGGAGCTTCTTTTTTCTCCGGTTAAGGAGAGAAGTTTTCACTTCTAGGCCGAAAGTTCTTCCGGATTCAAAAAGAGAAGAATCTGGAGTAACCTACGAAACTTTATTTTATTCAACAAAATTGTACAAAGTGATCTTACGGCTACGTGTTGCATTAGCAACTTATAATTATGTAAAACTTTTACATGATTTGTCCAGGGTTTAACATATCCCTTTCAATGCCGAACTTTAACCTAATTTGCCTATTCTAATTAGCTAGGATTCCGATCGCCCTTGAAAGGGTAAATTTGTGTTGTTTAGACCTTATATACTATGCCCTCTCAGATCTGGGATTTCTCAGATATCTTGTATGTTTATTTATTTTCGTAACTCAGATCTGATATGGCTCTACAAATAAGAATGTGACATTTGTAACGTTTAAACATTATAATTGTATCCTTCGTTAAGGATAAACAGAGAGGGAAAGCTAAACGTAACCTAGATGCGCAAGCATGCCATGCGTGGGCGTGTTTATCCCACTTGAACGCAGAAACGTTCCTAAGTAAATACTGCAGTTAGATTATGTAAAACGAGCTCTCGCTCCTTTCGCCTTACTTTTCATTCCATATTCTTGGCCTTGGTATCAACGTCAGCTAGGGCTATGCAAACGAGATGCAACTATGTGGGTTATCTTATGGTTTTGGTTTTAAATTAATTGCCTTGTGGTAACAGTATGTATATACGGTATCAACGAAGCGATTAGAGCCTTAGGTGTTCTGTAGGACCAAAAATGTGATCAGTTCCTGTAGAAGCCCGGAACTGAAGCAACCGGATGTGAAGGTGACTAAAAAGAATGTTCTCTCTCAAATCGCCAAACTGTTTGATCCCCTTGGCTTTATATCACCTGTGATCGTTTTGGCTAAGTCCATCATGCAGCAATTGTGGGCTGATGGTCTGGGATGGGACGAGATCCTAGAGGGCGAGTTGTTGAGTAGATGGGTGACCTTACATCAGTCGTTGGTACAACTGAACGAGATACGAATACCGAGATGTGTTATGGCTCCTGGAGCTCAACGTATTGAGATTCACGGCTTCTCTGATGCGTCGTGTACTGCTTATGGTGCTTGTGTTTATTTGCGTTGTGTTCAGGAGGACGGGGCAGTGTCAGTTAGGCTGCTTTGCAGTAAGTCAAGGATTGCCCCTCTGCGTCGTCTCACAATACCTAGATTAGAGTTGTGTGCCGCTGTGATATTGGCCAATCTGGTTAGTTTTGTGATCCCTATTCTGAAAACCGAATTCCACGATATCAAGCTGTGGTCTGATAGCCAAATTGTGCTGGCATAGATAAAGAAGAATCCGTCAGAAACCGAGTTTTGGATATAAACAAACTGACTAGTGCCTACGAGTGGAAGTACGTCAGGTCCGAGAATAATCCTGCGGATTTGGTGTCCAGAGGGTGTTACCCTGGAGTGTTGCATCGTTCTGATCTGTGGTGGAATGGTCCACTGTTTCTGCAAGATGTTAACTACGATATCCAGGAGACTCCGCTGATTCAAGATGAAGAGTTACCAGAAATGCGACAAGTTCAAGTGTGTAACCCAGCGGTCGATGTTGAAGACGCTCCGGTATTCGAGCGGTGCGGATCGTGTTCCAAGCTGCAACGTGTATTGGTGCAGGTGGTGAGATTCACTAAACTGACACGAATGAAAAAGGAGAATCGTAAACATGCAAGATACATTTCTGTGCAAGACATGCGAAAGGCATGGAGTACATTATAAGGATTTTGCAGAGGACCGGATTAAACGAGGAGATCCAGTGTGTTCAGCGTAAGGAGTTGCAGAAGCGATTGGCGAATCTTCAACCATTCCTGGACGAAGAAGGCTTCCTACGCGTCGGCGGACGTCTACAAAACTTTAAATTACCGTATGACGCCAAGCACCAATTACTTCTTCCACGCAATCACCGAGTGACGGAAATGTTGATTCGTCAATATCACGAGGAGAGACTGCATGAAGGGCCATCCGGTTTGCTGGCAGCAATAAGGCAGAAGTACTGGTTGGTAAATGCTCGATCCGCCATCCGGAAAGTGACTCGAAGCTGCGTAAAGTGTTTCAGGATTAAGCCGAGAGGAATTCAGCCCTTAATGGGAAATTTGCCCGAGGAGCGTGTGAATGTAGCAGCAGCGTTCGAACTCACTGGTGTGGATTACGCCGGCCTAGTGATTGTGAAAGAAGGAAGGTATAAGCCAAAACACGTAAAGACATACATTGCACTGTTTGTCTGGCTAACGACGAAATCGATTCACCTCGAATTGGTTTCGGATTTGACATCCGAAGCTTTTCTCGCCGCTTTGGATCGTTTTACCAACCGTCGTGGAATGGTTCGTAAAATTATGTCTGATAACGCGACCAATTTTATTGGTGCTTCGAAAGACCTCCACAAATTGTACTTGATGTTCCGTGACGAGACCGCAAGAACGAAGATCAACGATTTTCTGCTCAAACGAAAAATTGAGTGGGAATTCATTCCGCCTAGATCACCCAACTTCGGGGGTTTGTAGGAGGCAGGAGTAAAGGTTGTCAAGTCCCACATATATCGGACTTTGGGCAACGCAATTTTGACGTTTGAGGAGTTCGGAACAGTATTGACCCTCGCTATCAGTATATGAACAATTTGCGTAATCGGTTTTGGGCAAAGTGGTCGCATGATTATCTATCAACGCTTCAATCGAGGGCAAAGTGGACAAAAAGTGAACCAAACGTGAAAATGGGTACTATTGTGCTACTGATGGAAGACAATCTACCAGTTCAGTAATGGAGGTTGGGTAAAATTGTTGCACTTTACCCGGGACGTGATCAGAGTCGCCGACGTGAAGACTGTAACGGGAGTATTCCGGCGCTCCATTCGAAAGTTGGCGCCTCTTCCTATTACCCACAACGACCAACCGGCGGGAGTATGTACGCGATGAACGCTTCCAGTAGGAAAATGAACGACGTCATCGAATGGCGCATCCTGATTGGCTGACGCAGCCGAAGAAATAGTCTAAAAGCAAACAACATTGCAATTCATGTATTATTCTGTATCCTGTATTTAACCATTGAAGAGGAAGCAGCGAATAAAAAAAGGCAGAATTGAGATCTTTCATCTCATTCTTTTCGTCCGAGAACGGAGATTTCCCGAGCATTCGTGTTTCGTCCAGTTCCTGTTCGTTCATCCATGTGGTGATCGATTCATCTTCCATAAGTTCCACCTAGTGGACACTTTTAAAAGAGTTGAACTTTCCTGTTTCCCTGCTCATCGTAGCCTTGTGTTCGGCAGTTTGCCGTGGTCCTTCGAGAGAGAGAGAGAGAGAGAGAGGGTTACTTCGCTGGTGGCTGTAGTGGTTACAGCTGTTGGCAGCTCAACGACTGGTGGCTGAAGCGTTATCGGGGACCCATCGTTCCTACTCTGTCCGCTGTGGTGTGCGCAGCCAACGGTGCATCGTCCCTTCGCTGGTAGCTGTGGTGTGCACAGCTGTCAGTGGCTCATCGTCCCATTACTGGTGGCTGTGAGGTGCACAGCTGTCGGTGGCTTGATCAAGAGTTGTGTCTTGGTCCTTCGTTCGAGAGAAGCATCCCGTCGCTGGTGGCTGTAGCGTGTACAGCCAATTGTGACTCTTCGATCCATACGCTGGTGGCTGTGAAGTGCATAGCTGTCGGTGGCTCGATCACAAGGTAGGTTTTCGTCTGTGCTGTTGTGGTAAGGGCAATGAATCTACCCCAAGAGAAATTGAGTACATAACAGTAATGCTCCCAACTGATGATGACGTGAAACAGGTCCCGGATATTGGATCTCAGAGCCGCAAGACTGGTGGATCCCTTCGTGAGCTGGTTCATTTCCATTATTTAACGTCGGTCTCTGTTCCGCAATCTAGTGCCAATCACCGACGGACATCGATTGCCATCCACTGACGGCAATCGAATGTGCAGGAAGGCAGCTTCCACACCTACATAGGATATCGCACCCATTCAACACACATGGGCCGGGACCAACGGCTTTACTTCCCTTCCGAAGGAAGACGTGACCAGAGATTTTTATGCCTCAGAAAAATCCAACGCGGAAGCTGGTGTGGATCGCCGGTTCATCGGGTACACTGCCTCAGGCTTGAGCCCAAGCCGCTCCAGCTCGGATTTCACCGCAGTCGCCTCAAACGACGGTAATCCACGCAAAACCACCTTCAGTGGCTTGCTCGATGGCAGATCATGCGTGAAGAAGTCCACGTTGTTGTCCTTCAGAAAACATCCTATTTGTTTCCTTTTACAATCAATACTGCGAAACCATTGACTTTACAATGTCTCGGCATAAACTAAAACAATATTTTTGCTCCATAAGGCATTATAACTCATAAAAAGTAGGAACTGCTTAATTTTTATTAAAGACAAAATTATACTTTTAACCTCTTTTCCAAAGTTGACGAAATAAATAAATTTGAGGAAACAAAACTGTATTCGAATATGTTTGTACACCTCCAAGCACATGATTTTGGTACCGATGCTGCAAAGCTTGAAGCGAGGCAGCAGCTTGTGTTTTGCCAGTTCGGCACCCAGCTTGGCAACGCCCTTCACCGGCGTGAAAAGCAGGGGAATCCGCTCTCTTCTTGCAATGGGAACGGCGTCACCATCGCCATTTTTTCCGGGAGTACTGCATAATGATTGGCTTGCAGTACTCGTTTTCTGGGCTTGATTAGCACCTTCTTTGAATGGCCCGCTGCTGTCTCATTGGCACGTTTACGCACCATTTGTTTCGTGTTTGCAAGTTCAAGTAAACTTGCCAGAACGCGAGAAGGTGGCGACACTTCCACGGCGCAACGTGGCAGCACATTTTTCATTACGTATTTGGTAGAATATTCGTAGTATGCTTTCAATTTACAAAGCGTTATTGGCAATGATTTTTCACTTCCACTGACGAGACAAGCTGCGATGTCTGGAATAATTCTATGGTAGAAGCAACTTGTTCCTTAATAATGGCTGACCAAAGTCATTGAAGTCATGCAAAATTCCAGGAATGCAACTGTTACGCTAGAATATAAGAAAAGTTAACAAAATTGTTTTGAACACCGGTGAAACATATGTGACACATAACTCAATCAAAACTTTTCTCTCGTTGACTGAGTTGCTGCGATACATCATGCAATTATTAGGTATACATTACTTTTGACTAGTAACACAATGTTTTGTGGGGACGGCCGATAGTGGTTAACATTCATGCAGCTGTCACGAGTTCAAATCTCATCCCCGGACAAATCACAAATGACAAATTTACAATTTTTAAATGGAAAATGCTATCTTGGGTACCATTTGAGTAAAATTTACTGTACATTAATTGTTTTAATTGAAAACTAATTTTATTTTACACAGGCTGATCTAGACAAGGTAAATTAACCTATTAAAAAAAATACAGTAGAGGGTTAACAACTATAGTTATACAGTAATTTTTTTGCGGGGATTTTTGAGAATACAGACACACACAATTCTGTTCTTACGCGTTTTTTTTTCGCTTCTATTTTGAATTATGTGATCTCAAATTGCAAACAAATGTATTGCAACTTGTTTGAAAAAATCAATGAAAAATATGGTGGTACACTAATGTACCGATTTTGTCAGCCCCTCCTCGTATCACATTTTTATCTTTCAATAATTTTACAAAACCGTATTTCCACATCTTTTTTTTTTTTTTTTGATTCATTACTGTATTTAAAATATTGTTCCCATCCTGGATTAGGCTAAATTCAAAAAAATAAAATCGCGTTAAAAAGAACTGAGATTATTTCAGTTCTATTTATGAGTATTGTTATAGGACTTGTAATTATTCTGAGGTATACACATACAAATAATCAAATACTAAGTCATGTTTCAATTAAAAAAAATATCTTCTGTTTTGTTTATTTGGAAAAACAGGATGTGCGGTTGGAACTTGAGCTGAAAGAAGAAAAGTACAGTACGCTACAACGTGAACTAGAAGAAATGACCTTTGGCGGCGGCACCGAAGAGGAGATAGCTCAACTGAAACGTCAGAAAATGGAACTTGATCGTCGTTGTAAAGAACAGGAAGAGGAACTGGACGAAATGGCAGGACAGATGCAGGTAATTTTCATCGTTTTCGTCTTGCAATTGGTACTCATACGACAAATTTTCCTCTATATTATTGTACACAATTTTGGATGATTCCGTTTTACACTTGAACGAAAATCCTCAGCAGTTTTTGACTCCCTCTGCACTATGTTGTAAAATTTATAACGCTGAAACATATCCGTGTCAGCTTTGTCAAAACGACGTTTTAATGAGTCGATTATCGACTCATAAGTCTTAGTAGCTAGATCAACACCAGGGTGCAAAAGTTTCAATTTGCTGTAAGTTTCTCTACCGCATAGCCCCAGAAAATATGCAAGCTTCTCTTCTTGTGGAATCTTATTTATCTTGAAGATCCATTCAATCTGCTCCACATATTGTGTGAAGCTAGTACCAAGGACAAAAGATTCAATAGAACCTATCAGTGGCATGGCTCGTCTGAGGTAGAGAAAAAAAACAAGCAAAACAAAAGGACCTGCAACACGGTTCCACTCAAAATGGTCGCGATAACCAAAACCGTAATCTAGTAGCAACCAAATCCACAATAGCAACCAACAACACCTTTATAGCCTACTGCAATCCGTTTATCGTGTATCCGCAAACTGCCAAATTTCTGCGTTACTTTTCTTATTGCCCGATAATCATATAACAGCACCGAAAATCGGCACAAAACTCCAAAATCTCGTATTGAGAAAATTTCCGGATCTAAATTTTCACAATATTACAAAAATATAAGCAAATAAACCATAGCCGGTTGACTAGGACTACTAATTGGCAAAATTATAGAAACAAAAGCTAATTTTACTTTCTTTTAATTACTTTCTTGCTATTAAAAAATCACTCCGGTTTGTTCCGACACAATCTGCCGAACTGCAAACTTCCATAGCAGCCAAAAATGGTTTACAAAAGCGACTCAAACAAAGGCGTAGCTCGCTTTACACACTTATTACCAATTTGCTTCAACAATTAACTTGTATCGCATTCCAAAACCGGTAAAAATCAGCTGCCACTTCACTTTTCGCACTTCAATAATACTTTTCAAAATCACTATCCTCGTACGTCACTTTATCTGAGATTGTTCTTTCGGAGTGTATAAGTAACTATCTTCACAATAGAGTTTATCTGAGAACTACTTTGCAACAAAAGCCGCTGATAGTAGTAGTAGTAAAATTTACGTTTATTTTCTTTTTTTTTATGTTTCAACATTTGGTTTAACATTTCAATTGATTAGTCTTTGGCGCTTCATCTTTGTTCTAGTTAATTGGTTATTCTAATGTGATGATTGCGTTTAGCGCTATTTTACAGAATACCCTTTATGGGATTGTTTTTGTTTGAATTAAAAATTTTGATAACCTACCTACTTGAGCACAGGAACCTGACAGGAGCCTAACTACTTAAACTAGGTTGCCAAATCACGAATGATCTGGTGGTTTGATCGTAGACAGGCGACTCTGAACCTTTCCAGCGTGGAAGTTTTTCGCTTCTCGAGTGTTTGAAGACCGGCCAGGTGGTGAATCTCAGAATTACGAGTTCGCGGTGGACTGTTAAGGGGAAAATACAAGTAACACGTCAAAAACTCGACGACTTTCGGATTTTTTTTGTGAGCAAATGAAATAACGCAAACGTTTGGGGTTTTTTGCATTAAATTGCTTAAATCTTCCTCTACATTTGAGATTTTTGTCATTGATGTGTGACCTCTGTGGCTTCTTGGGGTCACATCGGAAGGAGGTCGCCTCCGGTGGGGATTGGTAATTGGCGGGCGTTCTAGAGACCTGAAAAATGGACAAAACTTACTTTTATCAATTGGACCTTATTCAGAAAAGATTTTTGTTCTATGTGAACCTCTAAAACCCAGAAAAAAAAAAACGATTTAAAAATTAAAAAAAAAGTTGATTTTTCACTGTTTTATTTTTCCACTTTAGGCAGACCTGAAAATTATTTATAGTTTATTTTTTCATGATATCAGTGTTTCACATAGAGTAAAAATCTATTTCCTTTAAGATGCGCCAGGTTTCAAGTCATTTGGATGTGAACTTTTTGAGTAAGGGCGAACACGAAATTATTGCGACACATTCAACAGGGCATAACTTTTTTACCATTGGGTAAAAATCAACCAAATTTTGCACACTTTCTCATTGATGTGTATTGTGTACATGCAGATTCTTTCCAAACACCTGGAATTTCCTGACCTGTCGCACCGGCAGTTGGGAAAAATGTTGAACATTCACCATTCAACCGTCTCCAGAGTGTTGAAGCGGTTCCAGGAGCGGTTGACGTTGGACCACGGCAAAGGAGCTGGAAGAAAACCGGGACCGGAGAACAAAAAGACGGAGGGAAAGGTGAAGCGGATGATTATAGCAAATCCCAACGTCTCAAGCCGTGATTTGGCTAAAAAGATCGGCATGTCGCAGAGCTACGTCCAGAATGCAAAGAAGAGAGCTGGACTACATACATACAAGGTACAGAACTTCCCAAACCGCGATGAGCGGCAACAATCGACGGCTAAAACTCGGGCACGGAAGCTCTACGAGAAGATGCTGACAAAATATGGCTGCTGTGTGATGGACGACGAAACGTATATAAAAGCCGATTTTAAGCAAATTCCGGGGTTGGAGTTTTTCACCGGCAAGAGCAAGTTTGACGTGGACGACAAATTTAAGAAGAAGAAAATGTCGAAGTTCGCCTCCAAATATCTCATTTGGCAGGCCATCTGCTCTTGCGGACTGAGGAGTGAGCCTTTCGTGACAAAGGGCACAGTAAATGGCGAGATCTACAAATCTGAGTGCCTCGAGAAGCGCCTGTTGCCGTTCTTGCAGCAGCACGACGAAGCTCCGCAATTTTGGTTAGATTTGGCATCATACCACTATTCTAAAAGTGTCCTGGAGTGGTATGAGGCCACTTCTGTCCATTTTGTTCCAAAGGGCATGAATCCGCCAAACTGTCCGGAGCTGCGCCCGGTGGAGCAGTACTGGGCAATAATGAAGCGGGATCTTCGGAAGAGCATGAAGACAGTCAAAGACGAGAAGGACATGTTAAGAAAATGGAAAAAAAAACTGAGAAACTGGTACCGGATGACACTGTAAAGACTTTGATGGAGGGCATCAAGCGAAAATGCGTTCAATTTTACACTCAAGGCTCCATCGATTAACTTTTCTTTTGATTTTTGAAGTAAATATATGTATAAAACTACCCTAAAATTTTGGTTTGATTCTAAACATTATAAGAAAATTGGCATGACATTTTCGGTGTCGCAATAATTTCGTGTTCGCCCTTTATCTTTCCCGCCAATTTGGAAAACACCGTTTCGAGAAAAACGCGTTTAAAGTTTTGGGTTGTGTAAAAACATGATATCTGAAACTTACGGTTAATCGGCGATACCGGGGCCATAGATCACTCCTTCCTCGTGCCCGTAGCATTAAAAAAAATAAAGTAAAGTATAAATAATCGATAAAAAAAAATTTTACTTGTATTTCCCCCTTAAGGATCATTCTGAGGATCTTGTTTTGGATCCTCTAAAGCTTTAGCACAACTCTCCCAGATTGGCATACCATACTGAATAGCCGGCAGAATGATCTGCTTGTGGACAGCAAGCTTGTTTTTGAGGGACAGGGTGGTAGAGCGACCTGATCAAGATGTTACACTTGGTTGATGTCTTGTCCACATGGGATCGGAATAGCAATTTGCTATCGAGGGTGAGACCAAGGTAGACTACTTCACTCGACCATTCAATAGGAGTGCTATCAAGTGCTTGACGTTAGCAGGCGGAACAAGCTGAGGTGAGGTATATATACACACTAAGATTTTTTTACAGGAGTCAGTATTTTTTTACTGGGTTTTTGAATTGCTGAAAAAGTCGGTAAACATTCAAATGACCGTTATCCGTAAGGAATCAATGAAATCGACCAATTTTATTTTCTATCATTAAATGGGGTTAACAGAACTAAGTATGTACAAGTTCAGAACAAATATTCTCATTAATAAATTTTCCACAGATTTTTAAACTTTTACCGAACAGTTCCGCAATTCAAAAACTCGGTAAAACCGTACTGACTCGATTAGTGTGTAGGTAGCTTTTCATGCAATTGACCACTTTGTCAAGCAGTTTTGGCGTGACTTTCTACCAGCGATTTCACAAAACTGGACCAACTAATTTCTATTTTTTTGTGAAACGCACAAATGTTGGCTACTTTTTTCGAGGTTCTAGAAGAAAAAATCTCAAAATAATGTTTCATTTCAAAGTTCGAGTGGTAGTAAACGTCGTTTTATCTGCTCGAATGAAGTGGTTAATTTAAATTTCATCTTTGTTGCACACTTTCGTTCGTCTGTACAGAGGGTTCGGACAAATTTTACCGAATAGGACTGAACTCCTACACTACCTTGGCAATTTTTAAACCTGCATATCAGTATAATAATAGACATCTAAAAAGTAAAACTAAATCTTATCTTAGTATAAAGGGAATTAATCGTTGCAATTGAAGATTGTAACGTTTTTTGCTTGAAATTATTAATTATTTTGTTGGACATTTGTTCTAAAGTCTCAACATTCCAAAATTCTATGTACCTCGGTAATACTGTACCAGGGAGACAACTTCAAATCATCTTCAGAACTTTATTCAAAGGATTCAGTATTTATTCCTGGTAGTGCAACAACTAGACCATATTGGCACATCGTAAAGCATGACCGGTCTAAAAACTTGTTTAAATATTAGAAGTTTATACGTCAGGCAAAGTTTGGATTTCCTGTTTATATCAGGATACATCAGATCCATAACGATCCACCTTTGCGTTCGGACGCGCTTTAGCAGCGCTCTTGTATATACTTTTAAATATCCAAACAATTTTTTATCATATTTTAAAAACTGACCCGCGTGAACTCCGTGTTTTTTTTTTATCATCCGACGCGAGTGCAAAAAGACAATCGCTTTCTATGGCGCTGCCATGGCACCTGCAACCGGACCTTTCATGCAGGTTGTGTTGGTGCACAGCGAAATCATGAAGACATTCTTCGGACCTTC